AGGTAATAACTCAGTGCATTGTTTACTTTAGGTGACAAACCTGGTATTCTGTTAGGTACTACCTATAGGTACTAAGTTCAAACGTTCGTAAACATCGCCATCTAAAGTTTGGATAATATAATACAGAATAAATAACTAACATTTAAATGACATAATATGAAAATTAGAATTGTTGGTGGAGAAGACGTTAGTAAACATGGCATTATTGAAACACAAGGAAAAATAGGAGCCTCTATCAAGCAAAAAAAAACTCAAAATCAAAATCATTACATACGTAGGACCTTTCGGCCGTGCACATCATATGTTTTATCATTAAACCTACTTTCCGTAGGTGCGATTATTGATGTTAGGATATGAACTGGTAAACTCATATCCAAAATATAACCCAAGTTATATTTTTATCTACATATCCTGTATATGATAAGTTTTATTTTATATGATTATATCCTATATAAAATAAAACTTTTAATAAATATTTCCAATAAATAGAAAAATAATAGAGTTTAAAAATAAATACTAGTGAAACACAATAAAAAAATTAACAATGTTAGTCTAACGAAATTAAAGAGCAAATAAATTGACAGCCTGCGTGATATTAAATAGTAATCATCGCCTATATATAAATAGTACCACGAATATTATCACGCGAGCCAATCCCGAGAACCAAAATGCCAAACCTTTCTACCCTATAATTTCACTGTCATATCTTACTTTTCAGTCGAAACACAAAGCAACCTGCTTGGTTGCTGAAATAGTTGAGACAGAATATTTGTCCACTTAGATAATATATTATATATTCATAGGTCACTCCAATTTCAATAACACGACGATTATTGTAAAATGTGGAATAAAAACTAGATAGGTATATATTACCTATAAAGCGGTACCGCCTGACATCTGTCAGGCGGTACCGCTTTATAGGTAACTTATCTAAGTTACCTACGATGGTACCCCAAATAAACATATTTCATGTGTGTATGTGTGTGATTTAGGCATTTGTATACCTTACTCAAAATTTGCATTGTAAGAAATAACGGGGCAAGGAATATTGGACATCGAATTAAGGCATACGCTCCTAAAGCCCAGAATACACTATCAAACTCAATATTTAATTTTTACTATATCCATCTAGTCTAACATGTGTGTATTAATTGTTATTTCTTTCTTTCGTTATGACTTGTAGAATGATGCCAGGAAATAGACCCAAAATAATGTAGAGTCTTTTAAAACCGAAAGGATTATTGCTAATAAGGTCTACTGGCAATTTACACTAATAGGTTAATCTGGTCGTGATTAATTTTCGAGTAGAATTACAATGATAGTCTAAGTTGCTTGATTTTATGCAAATCCTTTTATTCTTTACTAGTATATGACCAGCGAAAAGAGCGAAAAGAAAATAAATGACGATTTGAAATTTTGCATTTAGTCTATTTTTTATTTTCAACAGTGCTTCGCAATTATTAAACTGAAATACATGTGTTGAAGTTAAATATTCAAAATGAAACTACGGTTGTATTCAATGATTTACTGTTCCAAACACTACCCACTTCGTTCATATTTCAAAATCAACTCCAGCATTCATTTTTTTTTTGGACTACTCTAATGCTGTTGGCCGCAGCGGGCCTTTACAGCATAAACCGCACGTTAGAGAGCGAGTGCAGATGGCACTCCAAACCCGCGGAAGGACTTATGGAGCGGCTGAACCAACTCCTGCCAGACGGATATGACTTTAGTCTGAGGGCACCACCAAGGGTTCGAACCTCGGCTCAGGCCGCCGTAATATCGATCCCCGTTTGAATTGGACGGGGGATCGATCGGAGGGGACCCCCATTCAGACGAGTGGCGTTCCTTTTATAGACATTCTGTGAGTCATGAAACAATATATTTCGTTTAACAACTAAAATTAATTTACAATTCTTATAAAGTTTTATAAATATTAAGTAATAAATATGAAAATATAATATTACAATTCATACTAAATATAGTATCTACGAATAAACTATACATTCATAATTAAAAATAACAGTTCATATTAGATACGAAATCACTATAATCTTACACATGCAAACACAAAATGTCTATGAAGTAATCTTATTATAACGTTAGACGATACAGAAGCCAGAAAACGGTGATATAAATTTGACAAATTTCCTGTGGATACAAACGCTTAGCAAATAATTAAGTATCCGCTTCGAGTATAGAACAATAAAATTATAATTTTTAAATGACTATGATCGTTCAGCATGAAAGTCAACGTATAAAAGTATGCAAAGTCTCACAGTTGGGGGACACCATTCCACTTCTATACTCTTTCTCACATTTTAATCTGTATAATTTAACCTATAGCCTTTACTTATACCATTATCGTTGTACACGTTAATAGTAATCACCTTTGTGGATGTTAATTCCTCAACGAACATTTTATGTTATATGTGTGTAATATAAATTCATCGGCTTGATATCGCGAGGTTCTTGATAGAGCGACGACCGGTGGGCGGCGAGCGCCATTAAGCACGGCGGCGGCGGTGGTAACGGCGGCGGCTCCTTTGATACATCTCTCGAAATGCTCTCAATAAGCATCGGTTTACCCAACAATTAGCGGCATTCCATCTCGCGCCTTTCTTTCTACTGCCCTCGATGTAGGGCTGACACCTTTAGAAAGAGAAAACTGACGCCTAGAAGGGTTTATTACGTAAAGATATGTGTGATATGTTGACAAATATTTGGTATTTTTAATGTAAAGAACATATTAGATCTAAGGTGTAAGGTTATCCATTCAAAAGCTGAGATATAACTTTTAGATATTTCACCGGTATCTTTATACTCACGTCTATATTTAATCGGTAAACCAAAATAGTGTTAAGTATACCTACTTACTTGTTATACTACTTAATACTATACAGAAAATAATTAGGAATTATTAATTTAGAAAATTAATAACATTATATAGTAGTTACGATTTCCTGAAATAATAAGAAACATTAATTTCTATTTTCTTTCAACGCCAATCTCATATATCTGGTGTCGTTTGCTATTTTCACTGCAATATGAATAAAGCTCTAATGAATTTTAATAATCCCATTATCCACATTTTATTGGTATAATTTCATACTATCACCAAAAACTTAAACCAATATTACATAATTTTGTTCATTTGAATCAGCAAGTTTAATTAACAAAATTGACTTACTTTTTAATACTATGAACATACTAATTACCTTTTTTTATGCACGTACTCCGCAATAACCTAAACTAAGAAATTAAACCGTGAAAAGCTGTTTATCCGTCAAGATTTAGATTTATTTTATAATGCGCAACTACAAAAATTTATATTGTAATCCAAATTAGAGAGCTGTCCTATGTTTAGTCATCACAACTACTAAAATTGAAATGTAGTCATATTTATGGCAAGTCATTTCTCTACATATTTTGTATCCTCTACAGAACAATACAAATAATTTTAAATTACTATATGGTATATATCAATAATAGTAATTTAAAATTATTAAGGAAACAAATACTTTATATTTTACATCCAGTTCCTTGACGATGTCATTTCTCAATCATTGGTTCAGCAGATTTATATATATTTATTATGATTTTGTACATTAATGTTACTATTATTATAATATTAACATTCTACTCTTCTGCAATTTGGAGGAGTAAGTATCCTGCTTCTGACCCGGATAGCAATAACAATCTCTAATCTATACTACAGCCTTGCTAATCCTACTACCTCACTCCTCCCTCGGCCCTTTAAACTCATATAATAATCCTTTCTCAACTTCCTAATATTTATGATTGTGGAATTGGTCAGGCGGTCTGTGCATTGAAAATAATTATCAATATTTCAGTAGAAATAATAATTATATAGAGTAGAGAAATTGAGAATAGGCTGACAAGTTCTACAATCTCTGCTTCTGTGAGAAAGTAGGCATAAAAAAGACAAGTTACATAAGTTACATACGTACGCAACTAACGACTATTCCTATACCGTAACTGCTTAATGGTAAGCATCTCTATCTATTCTAAATAGCTGTCATAAATTAAGGTATCTTAACCATTTACCTCTCTGGTGAGTAGAAATATATAGGTACATATAATAATAACGTTGTAATATTGTTCAACCCTAGAACTCATGTGTACAAAAATTCACTTTCAAATATTGACCGCCATGTTTAGCTCTACATTAAGACACTAATTTAGAACTAAACTCATGATGTACGAAATTAGGTTTCTTTCACGTGCACCCTATTTTAACGGAAATGTTATTTAAGATTCCTAATTATACCGTCGCTGGAAATCAATCAAATTAAAATAATACATATATACATAAGAGTATGTATGTATATGCACTACCTACCACCTACTGCAGATGTATTTCAGGTATTTAATGAAAGGCGGTTTGATTTCAGGTTCATAAACATAAGTAATGATTGCATTATTTACTATAAAATACCCATCTATAATATTACTAACAATGCTATTAAAATTGTTTCCATTTTAAATTTTCAGCAAATTTAAAGCGGAAACTAATGAGTAGGTAATAGATAACGTCATATGTTATCAGCAAGAAGGACTTACCTATTAATACTTTAGGACAGAGTCACCTCTTATTCATGCAAACACCAGTTATAAACCAGATATATGTTATAGCAATTACTATTATACCCTTTTCTTTAGCGCTATTTTCTTATTTTGGTAAAATATAACAAAACACTCATAATAGTAGGTACTTAGTTTTTGTCAATAGGTAATCGGATAACTGTTAGAACACGGAAAACGTGACTACAAAATGACTGTATTTACAGAAATACAGTCATTTTTTCAAAAATAATAAATAAACAGATTTATTATTTTTAACAAACTTTCGTGTTATTTTTAATATTTCTGCATTTAATCGAAGTAGTATAAATAAGAAAGACAGTTTTGTACATAATTGTGAAATAACACATACATACCGTGGTTAAAAAGAAGGGAAAAATAAATGCAAACAAACATTGATTAACATGAATTTATTTAGTTTATCAAATGTGTTTTGTGAAAGTGCTGCGTACATACTAACAATTCCCGTGTTCACAAGCAATTCTCAAACAACAATACAACATGTTATTGCAACACAAAACGATGCCGAGTTTTTCTTCTCGACACTAATCTCTTTAATTAAATAACTAATCAATTTGACAGAGGTATATAATAGTCAGGATTTCAAACTATTAGCACCATATCTATTTTACTGATCTCACAAAACAAAACGATAAACAATTTTAATGCAATAATATTTTTAAAAAGTCGTACCTATTAGTACGTTAGTAGGTATCCATAATATTGTAACGAATTGTCAAACTTAATTAAAACCAAATTACTTATTAATGTCAACCTGTTTTGTAACAATTACCAGCTGAATTCATAGTTTGGGAATCAAGTGATTTGTGTTTATACATAGAAACTGGCGTAAGAATAATTTAATCTAATATTTAAGCTATTATTATGTACAGAACAATAATACAATTAAGAATAATCTCATTCAAGTTATAAAATAAACCTACTTCTCAAGGCCACAAATGCAGTTAGATGTAAGGGTTAGTCGTAATGTGCACACTTAGACCAAACGCAGTGATAATAGGTATTCTTGAAATTGAATAACTTACTTTCAATGTTGAAAAATAGGAAAGTAGTAGAAATATAAAAAAAAGGTTTCAACTCCTCATAATAAATGTATGACGACCTATTTCAACTATTCGATATTGTATGAGAGAAACTGTACAATTTCATGAATATACTAACACCATATTTCGACTTAATGTACCCAATACGACTAAAACTGTAATAAGTAGTGCTGCCACGTGCTCGGCTTAAATTCATATACTTTATGAGATTCTTATTGACTCATTTTCTTTTTAAGAATGAAAAAAATATTCTGTTATATAGCGTTAATAAGAGTAATGTAAATTAAATTCTAATAAAACCTTAAAATCCAAACTCATCCAACCACTGTACAAAAAATAATACTTAGATACTTCATCAACAATTATACTAATAATCTCATTAATATAAAGGCACTTGTAGCATTGAGAAATATTAATCAACCACTTATGGAATAATCAATTCAATAATCTTAATTATTACAATAATATAAAAATATAGTTATCTATATATACAATGACAAAATTCATTAATTTAATTAAAATATAAGACATACCATTCCGAGCATTGAAACAAAAGAATAAGGCGTGATAATCAATAGGTACTTATGTAAATACTAATTACTAGGTATGTACGAATATCTAATCATCATAGTAGACTACATTGGTTATCAGGCAATTTTCATAATACGTGAGAAGAAGAGAAATAAGAAAATATGAAATTTTCTCCAACTAATCAATTGTGCTGCAATATTATGAAAACTACTCGAAAGCAATATATGATTTATAAAGTAATTCGACACATGCCTACATACCTAATACAAAGTATTCAGTTAATTACACATATTAATCATGATTCAAAAACATTACAATGCCACGTCTTGCTGATACTACACACTTAATATTCCCGTAAGAATATTGCACTAAATTTATCACAAACTCTTAAGGTCAAGTCAGATAACTGTGCTGCCACCATTCGCAATTGTCAATTTCCCGGTTGTGTAAACCAACACTGGATATAAAGCTTATAAGTCTTTTAAAATCACTATTTATTTTTGTCTCTGAATTACAGATGTGATCACTATACGAAATCACTGTGTACACTATATTCATGTTGCTGTTGTGGTCACAGTAATGGTACAGGAGGTACACCAGGCACAAGCGGCTCGGGCACACCCTGCAGAACACCTTGGTGATAGTGGTGATGATGCATCATACCATTCATCATCTGTTGGTGATGTAGCATGGTTGCATGGTGTAACTGCGCGTGTTGAAGTGTAGCGTGGTCGCCCTTCTCCTTCATCACGACCTCCTCACGTTTCTTTACCTGCTTTCTCTCTTTAGCCCTTCTGTTTTGAAACCAGATTTTTACCTGTTACGATAAACATTATTAATATAATTAATGCCTACAATAAAAATACATTAATAGGTGGGGATAATTAGCAACAGGGTTTAGTGGTCCCATAGCTATTCATGTTCCATGTTAGGTTAACGTCGTAATTAATTCCTTCCAAAATTCACCACGTTCCACCATGGGTCCACACTCAAATCATAAACTCTTCCCTCGCCAACGCGGCAATGTGACAAACCTACCGTTGTTAAAAGGGCATCATAAAAATATTACTATCATAACAGATTAAAAAAAGTGAAATCAAATGTTCAAATATATGTAGGTATAGGTTCAAGAATCACAATATTATTTGTAACACATATATGTAATGTACTCGTAAGTCGGGACGGTGTACTGGGTGTCATTTATAAAATATTTAGTTTTAGTTAATAATAAATATAAAAAAAATCATTACTTTGTAATGTTAATTACGTAGGAAAAGTTTCATTTTAAGAAATAAAATTATAATTATTCCGATTAATTAATATAAATACCATTAATTACACCCACACGCAACAGCAATTTGGATAAATTAACACTTTAATGGAGTCTTGTAATTAGTAAAAAATATAAATATTGAATGTCAAACAGATGCGCAAATAACAAACTTTATCGTTGTAGCTACGCCAAAGAATCAGTCAATTATAATCAATTACATGATTATTCATAACTAGAAACCGGATTACCATAACTAGAAAAATAAAAAGATCGAAAAATGCATGTAAAGGTACATGTATGTAATATTGTACTTAGTACCTATATGTATGTATAATGTAGTATACCAAATAATTAAAAACTACATACATTACATATGTTACTAGTAAATCAGTATAACAATTATTATATTAATAGTATTTATTATCATCAAGCATTGTCCACAGAATATTTTATAAAAAAGAGAAAAACGGCTGTGGTATGCCAGTATAGCATGTACGTACATAGCTTGAAAATATGTATTATCATTTTAGTTAATTATATTTATATAACGGCTTAGGTACAAGCTGAAGGCAAACATGATGCTAAGTGGAAACATACATGAACACAACTACGGCCATTATGTCATCATATGCCTTGCGTGGAACTCTAGCCCTGCTTAGGCTTAGCAATTCCGGAGTACTAACAAGTCATGCCTCTGTACAATGTAATCTCAATGCCGTATCTCACTCTCCCACCGAAAGACAGCTTACGAAAGAAGCTGTTTTACTACCACCAAACAGCTTGTTAATAAATATCAGAGAAGCATCACGGAGACGTTTTTATATAAAGTCTACATATCTGCATATGTAAAATTATGCAGTAACAGAAAATCAGCTAAATATGTAGGTAAATGGATTTGTTTTCTATTCGTAATATTTACCTGTCGTTCGGAAAGACCAAGATTGACTGCGAGTTCTGCTTTTCTGCGTATAGTGATGTATCGGCTGTAGTGGAATTCCTTCTCCAACTCCAGTCTCTGGTGGTCGCTGTATACCACGCGGTATTTGTCTTTTGTGCGTGTTTTACCTGCACCAAAAAAAATTACTATGTAAGTACTCAGCTACTCTAGGCCGAAATAGCTATATATGGTATAAAATAAAACCAATATAATGCAATTGGTCTTTGACTCACACGTTCTGATTAAAGGTTATTCTATATACTTATCTAAAATGTTATAAGAATAACAAATAGTCGCTGATGAAATGTGATAAGGATTTTTGGTTTTAACCAAATATAAAACCATAAAGCAAATACTATATACTAGTATGAATAATTTAATAATTATAATTTCTTAACGTATGTGCTAAACCCTATTTTATTTTGTTCTGTAATGTGTATAGGTATTGATATGGATATGACAACCCAAACCAGAACGGTGCTTTTTTTACATTTTTCGCGGGAATTCGGGAAGTTGCGCGTAATAAAATAATACAAATCACACAAAAATTTAAATTTGAACCCCTTTTTTTCAGCACACATTTACAGCACCTTACTTAAGTTTGGCACTATGATCTTTATTTGATATTTTTTATATAGGTATTTCAACCAAAGATAAGTGTTAAAATACGGCATTGCTCACATTTATATCTCCTAGATATTATATTTATTCAATTACTTACAGTATAGGTAATATTATTTTTCATTAATGATAAAATCTCATGGGAGTTTTTTCTCCATGAAGAGTGCAACCTAATAGATATTTTACCAACTTATGCCAGGTTGTTGAAGTCTAATATTAGATATATGTCTCTTAAACTGACATTGTCTTAATCAGACAATTACAGTTCAACAGCAGCTTATGTCAGTCCAGTTTGGATTTGTATTTATCATCTAATAATGTATGAGACTTCATACTTGACAGAGTTAAACCAGAGTGCATTACAGGTTTGCTTCAATATGTAGTGTTGCTCTTTTTTAGCTATTTCAATTTTGTTTATGTTGTTAGCACTTGCAAAACGCCACAATTGAGACACACAATATAATACCTATAATACCTATAATAAAGTGAGTGATAGAACGCTACTTGACACTAACAATATAATATCTGTCATTGTTATAAAATTTACTTACTAAATACTTTGCAAAACTTGTTAATATATATGATTTTATCTCCTATTTTGGGAATGGAAGTCATAATGTAGGTATTTAAATATAGTAACTATCAAGCCTTATAATGCATGCATGGCGACTTTGTTAGCCACGCCCTTTATAAGCGATATAAATGGATATACATCTGTCCCACTCTATCAATATATGTTAAGAGAGTACACGAGTGCAAAAATTCATACCATATCTACGTATATATTATCACTTACTTTTAATTAATTTCTTCATAGAACATTTTTTATTTAACGATCGTCCTTCAATAAAAAAGGCGCAATGGTAAATGTCACCTAATACCTAATGGCGATGAGGTAGATAGTAATATAGAGTGACCCAATTTAAAACCAGGTCAATTTATGAAAACCAGAATATATATAAAAAATCTCATGGTTTCATACATATCTAAACATTATTAAATTTTGAATTACTATATCGAACATAGTTACTACCTACTATATTGTACAACCCGTACAGTTTCAAAATTGTATATATCTATTTTTTGTTTAAATAAAATACAGCCTAATTAGGTATACGTTAGTAATGTATCGTTCTGTAAAGGAAATCATTTTTAAAATTGGCTTTTAGTTCTCATCTACAAACAAAACATTTCCTAGTTTAAATGGATCGCTCCTACATCGTCCAGATATTCTGTATAATTTAATGAGTTCTATAACAACACACACACCACAAACATAAATTAATTTCGACTTCAAAGAATTCTTGTGTGAAATTTATGCCTACCACTATTAATATTATAAATTGAGCTAAACTACTCTGTGAAGAGATAGAGGTACTTATCTATATTCTATGAGGAAATTATGAATATTTATTATAGTTTAATTTTATATTTCATTTGTATATAATAATAGTTATAAGCATGATACATTTATATGGGTAGGTATATACGGTTGACTGGTAGAGATTAACATCTCGGATTTAATAAACATATAAAAATGAAGAACAATACGTGTATCTATATAAATCTACTACTATTTTATAGAATTGTAGATTCTATCCGAAACCGATAGATATACTCGTAAAACAAAATAAGTCGCTAGTAAGAGTTCTACTAAAATAACAGTCGGTACGTCGTCACTTTAGTGGAACGATTATTCGTCGGTTTATCGTTTGAAAAGTCTTTTATATTCTCGTAACGAGCGCGTACTCGCCTCGCTCGTGTAAGGGGAGAAATCCCAAGGGCTCGATAAGGTAAATCCATGCGGCGGGGAACAGAGGCGCCGCGCAGCGCAGGCTTAGCCCTGGGATCAAGACAGGACCACACCTCGTGGTGTCTGCCTGACAAGACGTGTCTAGTCCAAGTACCTAAATATTTACATGTTGTTATTGAAACTGTTTATTTCAAATAATAACTGATAAATGTGATTTGTGAAACAGAAATAATTTGGTTCTTATGAGTTTGTTTTTTTTTATATAAAAAGAAGTACCTACTTGATATCAATTAATTTAGTAGGTACTATAAATTATACATAGTTATTATAATATCCAAATCAAATACATGGTTCACTATTGTGTATGTAATATTATATTATCTGTGGTATATCTAACGGTTTTCGACATAAGACGTACCTAAATATTATAAATGGTATCGCAGACTTTTTTTTTGTGCATTTTAGGAGAAACGTCTGTAGATAATCCATAATTTTAGTGTACCTATCGATTTATAAAGACAGCTTTATGCTTGAAGATTCTATATCGACTTTCTTGACATTAATCCTTTCGCCTAAAGTAAACACTATGTGTGAACTATTAAATTTTAGTAATAATAGTAGGATATTTTCTGAAGTTCTATATATTTGGGACATTATATTCAATCGAAACGTTTTATTCGAGTCGGTATGATACTACTATAGTTTTGTCATTAATAGTGCCTTGCATTATCTCCTGAAGAAGAAAATCTTCATACAATACGATTATTAGTCTAGACACTGTATACGATATCATATATACTTTTGGATGCTTAAGTAGCTTATGCCTAATCATAGATTAACTATGTACTTAATATACCTTTCGTACCTATCACTACTCAGATAATCTATATATCAAATAAAAAATATATAAGCGCTATATAATATTGCACCTAGAGTTTAAAACGTATTAATATCAATATTTACTTATAAATAAAAGCTTTGAATGACTTAATAATACTTATTCCGCAAATTGTTTGAGAGGGACCATGTATGGCGTTAGTTGTTCAAGAAAGGGCTTTTGGATAGATATATTTAATATATATATATGCAAGACATATACACTTTATTTTATTAAAAGATATTGAAAGATGACTAACTTAGTTTCTTACCAGATATAGTCAACTGAAATCACTAGCCGAACTAATCGGTATGGATAACGATAAAAAATATGACTTATATAAATGGCCGAAAGTGTCTTATATGAATAAATTATTTTGACTTTAACATTGTTCTAAAATCGAACTATCAAAATTATGTTGTCACCATATATTTCTGAAACTTTTATTTCCAGTACTAACTAGTAATAATATGAAACGTGAATGTTATTGGGTTTTCCAATTTGTCGAATTTTAAATTATTATGAATTTTGTTTACTTTTTTTATCTTCCATTATTTCTCAACAAGTAAATTACCGAGATATGTAGTTATATCTGTGTACATTGCATAGACAGAGTAGAGGCGTCTGCTTGTTTACTTGTGGTGTGTAAATATTCCTTATCTCGCTATAAGAACTTCATAAATTATGTTTGTCACTCGACAGACAATTGGAGTGGAATTATACATTTACGTAATCATTTCTTGAGATGAAGAGTTTTCTAACGTGTTATAAAATTATACCTATTTCTGTAATAAGTGAAATTTAGGATACGGATTAATAACAATACATTAACGGAGCATCAAAAATATGTTTACTTTTACTAGAGAAAAGACTAGTGTGTCTTTTACACCTACTAAAAATGAGAGATAATTTTTCAGAATACATATTCTTAGTTAATTACTAGGTACACGTAAACACCAAATGAAGTCGTAATACTATATGTTGTCTTCTATAGTTATTTTTTTTCAATGGATGTATATGAGCTAAAGTAAGTAACAGTTTTCTGTTAACTTGACTTACAAATATAATCATATAAATCGGTAATATATTAATTTTTATCTTCTAAGACTGTTCTTCAGAGAAAATATCAACATACCACAGTTATAATTTTTGTATGTGTCAAATTTAAAAATACAATATCGATACTACCTACATTAAAGACGAATCTTACCCACTCGCGATTTATAGTAGGAAGTATTTGCACAGCAATCACTTCCCTCTATAAACACGAGGTCAACGTTAAGCAACATTTAGGTGTAGGCATATAAGTCTAGCTCGATGAGCGAATTCCTATGAGATGTATTCAAAATGAAAATACGTTAAGTTAGTATACTTAACTTTTTCATTTGTAAACTGACGGAAATAGAAGCAACGCTAAGGGGAAACTAAAACGTGCAAGTATAAAATCTATGTTTCTAACCAGAAATACAATTCAGATAGATGTCATCAAAATATGACGCAATTACTGTGTAAATACACTAAAAATATATAAAATTAGTCCATTTTTGTGCAATGTTCACGAAACATCTATATTTTAACTAATATTTTTAAATGTTAAGATACAATGTATAAAGTTGTTTTTATATTCTTGGGGGTCAAAAGTCAACATTGTGACATGTTTTCATACACGACTTCAAACTGTAGACTAAAGATAAACTCTTTGGAGTGCTTGAATGACAGAAAATTATAACTTAAATAAATTTCCTGTTAGAGAAGCAAACAAATGGAGATGGCAGAGAACTAGTAAGGCAAACACATGTGCACTATCTATAGGCGATGCGTTTGATAGCAGGCGTTAATTTTGAAGGTAAACACAAAAGTCCCAAGCACGCGGTCCG